GCATAATAATTTTAATTTATAAATCCCTTCTTTAGGACTTCTCAAAAAGACTGTTTTTAATTAACAATTAAAGAAACAGAAATATTATCGGGAATTTTATCGACAATTCGTCGGAAGACAGTGTCATTTATGAAAACTCAAAAGCATCCGATGCTTAACTGCAAACTCTCCTGATGTTGTTAGCTAGGGCTTATAATCTTTTTTTTTTCTAAATCTCGTAGGATGTGACTAGTGGTCGTTTTTTGGTACCAGTTTCCGACGAGTGCGCATGATTCTCGGTTTAGTAAAACCTCAGATTGGAAGCGATAATTTTGCAGAAGATTGGGATCGATCTTTTGAGCATGTTGCTTTACAGAGTGCACGACTTTGAGGATTATAATTAACTCAGTACTTAAAATTATACATTTCAGGTGCACGCGCACGTCTTTAGAGATTGAAATGGAATTGATGACGTCACATCACACGCGCGAAATGTATGATGTCTTATTGCAGCATTGTGACGTCTCAAATTCGAAAAAAGAACATCGTTGAATGAGATCAATGAAGGTGAATGTCAAAAGCAGGCGAAGTTTGTTTGATGTATATATCGACCGGTAAAAGAATGATTTGAAAACCTGGAGAAACAAAGACAAAGTGACAATTACAGCTGTAATGGGAGCAGACTATACACAGTACAGTGAAGGTACCGTAAATGCTTTCACGCGGAGAAAAACAAAACACACCGCCGGGCAGACAGAATAGTTTCGTGGTTTTCTCTTACTTTGGAAAAAAACGTTTTTCTCTCTCCACACTCAGGATTCAAAATTATATTGTAAGTAAAATGTAACAAATGCTTTTGCTTTGAAGGCAAAATCCAAACAAATCCTGAGATACGCCATCTGTTTTTTTCCGTGTGTTTTTTGATCATCCAAACCAAGTCATGCAAAAGGTTGTCCTTCAATTACTACGATGTTGTAGAAGAGAAAACAAACCTCCATGTGTACATCCAAACAAAATGAAAATTCAATTGCTAACATATCAATCCAAAAAATGCAATGTTCACTGACAATTTCAGTTCCAAGAAATGCCAGTGGCAATGCAGATTTAGGGCAACAACAATGGCGATAACTTGAAATAGCAATAACCATGGAAATGTTAACACATATTACCAGCATTCTATTGAATAGAACTATGATTATTTTTTCATATATAGTCTTTGATATTATTCGTCCATCTCGGCAATCTTTTAACCCACATTCACATCAATCTTACCTTAATCAATTGTAACTTTGTGGGTAGCGACCAGCCAAAGACACAAAAACAAGTAATGTAGTCCAGGTCCGATAGCAAAGACTAAATTCTAAATCAAGACGTCGATGAGAAATTCTCAACTTTATTTAATCTTTACTTTAGGCCGTGCTTTTGGAACAAGCAATTGCAAGAACGTAATTCTTCGACAAAAAATTTGATTTAGCTCTACAGCAAGGCCTAAAACAAGATGTTGGATGGGATATATTCTCCACCCCCGCCTTGTTTTCGGCTGTGCTATTGGGACAAGAAAAACTCAGTCATACGATTGTAAGGTAAGCAAAAGTTATATAATAAGTGGAAACAGACCAATCTACTGTTATTTTTTGGAATTTGTTTACATAAAACGTCCACTATATATAACAGGTCCACGTTCCTACAGATTTTGCCAAAACGCGAGCTAGGTGCATATCATCAGCTCTTCTATACGCATTCAGCAGAAGAAAAAAAAAAACACAAACATCTATATGTCGAGGCTAGTATATTTCACATTACCTTTACCTATATATATAAAGTAAACATGCGTGAATAAGCACTTGTAATTGGCTAGCAGCATGTTCTAACGTTCCGAAATATTTATGATTGGCCACTTTGACGACCTTTGAGGGTGTTGCACTACGCCAGTTGGAAAGTTCTGCCTCTTGCTTTAATTTAGGCCTTGCTTTGGGACCAGCGGTGGTTGAAGAGAAATTGCGTGTCAAAAAATTGTCAAAATTGGTCTTAGCTCGACAACAAGACTTAAAACAAGCCGTCAGTGGAACTGACGTTGAGAAACTAAAACACGCGCAGCGTTACTATGGTTCAAGGTAATGTACATCTATATAATAATAAAATGCATGATGTGAGAGCAAATCTTTTGCTTTTATGATATTTATCACTCGAAAAGTCAGGATATTTTTTGTAAACGTCTACG